TCAAATACTAATTTAGAAATTATATGATGAAACCATGATTTTCTTTTTTTACAACAAGGCTGATATGTTGCTTCAGGGAAAAATGTAATCTGGCAACTATGTGCGTTTCCAATTACAGAGACTTGGCATTTGTGACACCAGGGGGGACTGGCATATAAGAATAGCCCATTAATCTGAATCCACACTGTGTTCCTTGCTTCTTTACAAGTATCAGAGAAGCAAGACCAGTGGTTGAATAACACAAAGGCTTACCAAGAAGAAAGTGAAGATGCCTAGGACCAGGCCAGCTCCTAGTCTAAGCTCTTCCTTTGCAAATAACCTCACCTCACCAACCCTCAGCTGCCCACCCAGGAGTGACTTCCAGGGTCCCTTCCAGCTCTAAAACTCTATCCGTTCATTACTGAACAAATATGTGTTGAAAGCATCCTCTGGGTCAGCTTTGCAGTGGGGAGTAAATAGACAAAGATCCTTGCCAGACAGGAAACAATAGGTACAATAAGCATGTAAATGTATACAACTCGCTCAAAGGAGAGAAGTGCTACGAAGCAAACATCACCCTGATACCAAAACCAGGTAAAGATATAACCAAGAAAGAAAACNGGAGCTGGAAGGGGAAAGTTAGTGAAAGCCCTGAAGAGTGCCGCTGCCCCAGGTAACTTTCGCACGCTGGCCCTCCGAGTGTGCGCGTCTCTCTCCGGGAAGCCGCTGATGTGCCTTTCCCTGCGCTCGGCCCCACCCACCGTGATTTTACATTTTAGCTCTACGTATCTCCTGAGATCTCATTTTCTGCTACATGCAGAAGATTGTGTATGTGCATCAATTTGTTTTCTGGTGTGATCTTCATGACATTGCAGTGCAGTCTGTAAGGATTTTATTTCCAAAGCTGGCATCTCTAAAACAGCCTCCAATTAATTGAGTTATCTTAATAATGAAGCAATGACTATAAAGATAACTTTGTTCTTAATTACATACCTCAGCAAGTTAAATCATCCAGTGAGCCATGGGTGGAGTTTTCCTGGCTCTTTGCTAACACTGTGTTGCTTGAGATCTGGACCAGTTAGTTGTGCCATTGTGAATGGATCTGTTTGTGAGGCTGGAGCTCCCTCACTATCTTTTAATTTGAGTCAGAATTGGCAGTAGAAAAATCATCATCCTTAGACATTTAAAAGTATATATATTGCGATGGCACTTCCATACAGATACAAGAGGACAGATGAACCCCTGACATAAAATGTGATCTGGGGTCTGCTTTTCTTTTAATCCATTCTGGATTGTCATAACTATTTTAATGATGCAATGGAGAATCATTCTTTTCCTACTAATCAACTTTTTCTCAAATACTAATTTAGAAATTATATGATGAAACCATGATTTTCTTTTTTTACAACAAGGCT